GAATTTATTATTTTGTAAATGTGCCTGACTCACCAAATGTCTGGTATAAAACCTCATTGTTCTTACAAGCTCTGAAGCACACTTCTAAAGTTTTTTCTTCCTGTAACGTCCTGTATAATTTTATCTCTTGATTCTCTTTATGCTTTTCTTTCAAATCTACAAATTTGATCAGAATCTTTTAATTAGGAACTGCAATGCTATATATAGTAACAGTAAATAAAATTTTTTTTACATCAAAGGGCAAGCATATATATAGGATTTTCTTCTCGATTTTTTTTGAGACTTTGTTCTTTTTTGACAGAAATTTTTGTTATCTTTTCCAGTAAAACTTATAAAAAAGTATCTAAGTGCTTTATTAAGGATACTTCTCAAGGAAGAAACATGTTATGAGGAATTGCACATTGCATCACAACATGTTTTAAATGATTTTCCTTGTTTTTTGACGAAAAATCTTAGTCATCATGTTACTGTGCTGCTTTCAATACTCAGCTAATTATACACAATATGAGAAAAATGTCTAAATTTTTCCATTTAAAATTCTTGTTAGTTTGATTATTCTAAAGTGCATAGCTTATATATGTTTCACTGGTGGTTAAGATACTTGCCCCATTTGAAATGAAAATCTTTGAAATGTACTGAAGGTTACCTGCAGAGCAGTGCACCAGTGTTGATCTGTGGTGATGTGTGTTGGTTGTAGTTGATGTACATTTGTTCCCTTTGCAGATGCTCATTCTTTGGGGCCAGTTTCTGGAGAAACATGGTCCCCAGCAGGAGTACCAAAGGGACATCATTATTCTGTTATGTTTCTCTGTAGTAATAAATAGTCATATTTGGTACTGATTGTCCATCTCCTATATTACTGAAGTGATCCCTGAGGCGTGGAGCAGGTGATTTAAAATAATTGGAATCACATTGCTCTTGGTTTGGCAGGAAGGTTTGCATACCACTTTTGTTTTTGTAGAATTCAAGCTTATAATCTTTGCTTTAGATAAAATATCTCCATGCTCAGTGGTTTGAAATAATCTTTTCTACTCCATTTACTCTTGATTCCTTTCAGACATTCACTGACATGCTTAAACCTCACAATCTTTAACAGAAGTTAGCTCTGCATAGTTGCATTAGATGCATGGGATGCTTAGTGTTTTCTGCAGTGGGCCTTGCAGGTCAGTGCAATTTATGCACCACTAGAAATTGCACCTGAACTACTGTAGCTCATTTCAGAGCTGTTATTGGTATTTTTCTTCTCCAGTTGCATAGCATAAAAATTTCAGACCTTTTTGATTGTGTTGGAAGCATTGCATTGCTCCCTTCCATTAAGTTGTTCGATTCTCCTTTCCTGGCTCTTGTTCATGTTCTGCATTGAGTGCATCTCCTGGTCTCCAGGAACTCTCCTTGTATGACTCAGTTGTCAGCCACTGATGTGTCAAGCTGATGGTTGTTGCAAAAGCCCCACATTTTCTGAGACAGTTCTGGAGTATGAGAACTGAATGACATAATTGATTGTCTTGTTTCAGTGGTTTAGAGAAGCTTTTGCAGGGGTCTTTCTTGTTACTTCTGCTTGACTGATGTGGTATAGATTGAAAGTACTTATTTCCTCTCTTTGGGTTCTTTTATTGACATATGGCTATAAATGTAAGCTCCTTTGCAGCTAGCCATTTTACCTGTTCACTGAGTGGGCAGGTAGATGTTCTTAAAAGATAACATAGAGCCAAGACTTTTAAAAATCCATTTCTTTATTTTGTCGTTCTTAACCAGATATTTAGAAGAACTGTTACCCTAAAAAATGCATTGTCTGGAATTCTTAAGGTGCAGTTTTTGTTACTGTGGGTGATATTTTTAGCTGAAATGAGGAATCTGTCTTCCTCTTCATTCTCTCTTGGGTGTCCCCTCTGACTTCTTTCTATTGCACCTACCTTGTGGTTTATTTAGATCACTTTATGTGTCTGACAAAAGCCAGGCCCACTCCAAGTGGTGATTAATTTTCTGCTGCCTATCTGACTTTCTGGCTAGCCACATGAGCTGACAAGGGAGAGTAGGTGGGAGCACATGGCCAGGATGGGGCAGAACTGTTCATTTTCGGCAGCAGCCCACAGTGTGAAGTGTGACACAAACACTTATCAGGAAGGGATGCAATTTCTGGAAAGGGATGAATTTGTCAGGCTATCCAGAATGTCTTGGCATCTTGGAAGGTTTGAAATACTCTTGAGATACACTTGATTGCATATTAGTTTAATCTTCATGGTAAGTTTCTGAGTTTGCATCATGTGTCTTGGGGAGTGGTTACATCTGTGTAATGTTTTCCATATTCATTTATTCATACATATTTTCTCCCTTAAACCCACATTAACAGCTTCTGTCAGGGAATAGCTGTGATCCAGGGTCACCTTAGAAATACATTAGCTTGTAGTTGTTTATCTTAGAAATGTGTTCGAGAGAGGAAATCTCCCAGACCAAATCGATATGGTGCAATATACCTAGCAGTTAAAAGCCAAGCCAAACCAAAACAATAGAGTCACTTTTGCTCTGATAGTCTATGAAGTGGATATATTTTAGTGACAAATGTTACATTTAATATATGTACATTTAGAAATCCAAGTTAGGCTTTTTATATTCTTTCTTACTGACTAATTCTCTTCTGGTACCAGCATATGGTCATAGAGAAGACTTGATTATACTCTGTATAGAGATCTAAATGATGGCATATGTAGCTATGTTGTTAACAAGCAGGAATAATAAAATGTTGTAGAATGTTATTTGCATGTAGTAATGTAATGGTGAGAATCAAAACACTGGGCTGTCATTGCTCCTGTGATCAGGAAGGGTTTGTTGCAGTGCAGGTGGATGAGTGAAGGTTAGCTAAGGTTGGCAAATGGGCTGTAGTGGAACAAGGGAATGGCAGAACTGCCATTGGTCCCTTGTACCTTGCTTGATTCGTGGCCTGTCACATCCTGTTTGTGAACAGCAGCCTGAAAATTCACATCTAGCAAGAGAAGATGAAATTTTAAAATCATTCAAAGCAGACTCTGCTGCCTGAGAGGTGGGAGAGAAACAACAATGGTAATGTGATAATTTGTTGATGGTTGTTTTGCTGTATTTGTGGTTGCACTAGCTGTTGCAGGCTAGGAACAGCTAAATGATGGTCCTGCATGTGGGTGCCATATGTGCTGTGGGTGTCTGTACATTTTGTGGGTGTCTGTCATTGCAGATGCCAGCTGGATGTGTATTTTTTGTTTGTTTATTTGCTTTTAATTTTTTATGCTTTTTTTGATAGAAAGTAGGCTTTTAATATTGATGGTAATTAATCACCTGTTATTTTACCCAGATAAGGTAAAAGATATGTAATATATATATTCACGTGGTCAAAAATGATACATTTGTTCAAAAAAGATGATAAATTATCCAGAAATTACAAGAACCACTTTGCAAAGACCTGGTGGCCTATGTTACAAAGCAGGTTAGATGTAGTGGGGATAGACAAAAGGATATCTGACATGGAGTTATATCTATTGAGTTGACTTCCAAGGAGCTTTCCAGTTTTACTTCATCCTTCTGAAGTGTAATGCAAATGTGTAGAGTTTCTTGTCATGCAATTTTGTGTGCATCTCCACAGTAGTGACACGGCCAGGCATTTTTATAGAGGACCCTCAGCCTGAGCATCCTCTAGTAAGAGAAGCTGTCTTGACTTCTGGGTTTTTTTTAAAGGATTCATCTGTTTGTGGATATGTATTCATGACTGTTATCTTTTTTACTTATTAATACTCGTGCTTATGCATATAGACATAACAAGAAAATTTTGCTGTAGGGCAACTAAAAGATGTAATAAATAAAAAAAGTCATGATTCCCTCAACCTTCCTTTTCATTGCTGCTGTTCTTTCCCAAGGAAGCTGGTATTCTCAGCTCTTCTGGTTTTAATGCCTATTGAAAGCCTGCCAGTAGTTTTAGAAAGAGTGAATTTGATGATTCGCATTATCCCATCCTGTTCTGTGTTCCCCAGAGCTTTCAATAAATCATTTGTTACAGTTGCACTATCCTGTGTTATATTTATTTGGAGAAGTGTAGTTTAGAGTGGCAAGCGGTTCTTCAGCGTTTCCTCTTAGATCCTCTGTCTACATGCTTCAAATCTTAATGTGCACATTTCAATGGAAACAAAATAGGAACAAAGTTGATACTGTTCCAAAATGTCTCCAAGTAGCTCTTCCTATTAATTAGTTTAATAACATGGCTGTTCTGTTTCTCGGGTGTTTTCAGGTCTAGAAACAAGTGTTGCATTTCTATTGGAGAGCTGAGTATTTTCTTCCACTACTACTAGAATAAAACTCTGTTTCTGGCAGTTGGGAGATATGAAGTGTTCCCATGTTTGCTTGCTATTGGACTGAATTAAAGGAACTAGTTTGGGGAGAATATATGGTAAAGAAAGGAAGAAAAGGAAGGAAGCAAGCAAGCAAGCTGTTTCTCTACCACCCATTTTTCTTTGGTTTTAGTAGCTGCTCAAGGGTTTGGAGTTTTGGGAACCTTTTAGAGGGTTGTGAGTCAGAGCTTTTCAGAAAATGCAGCCAATTATGTTTTAGCCCATTGCTGTCCCCTTGCTGTGTGAGAGTCTGTGTGAATGAACAGTTTCTTTCAGGCCGTGTTGGTGAGATTTGTGAGAGTGCAGTTGTCTGACCAAGCCAGTAATGTCTCAGCTGTTCTCTCTGGTCTGTGCCCAGCGTCAGGGTGAGGGACATGTGAGCCAGATGGGGGGTTATTCTCCATCACAGATTGTGTTGTTGGAAATTCTTGAATAAGTCTCATAGATTCTGATCTTTTATTCATTATCATAGACTGCTTTGTATGTTTCAATGTAATTTTATTTGGTTAATGACATATTTTTACTTACAATACAATAAAAATACAGTACAATGTTTTTACTTATTGTATATGTTTTGTTTCTGCATTCTCAAACCAGTACAAAAGGTTTTGCCATGACTTAATAATAATTCCAGTCTTTTCCATATTGCAGTCTACCCACATTGCTCGAGCCAGCTTCCAGGTTGATGCTTTTGGATCATCTTTCATCTTAGATGTGACACTAAACCAGTAAGTAATGACTGTATCTTACACTACATTTGTCTAAGACCTGGTGCCTGTGAAATGGAATTTTCCAATGGAGTTTTTAGGGGCTGTATTATAGCAAAAATACTATTTTAGGTATTGAGTTAATTTGTAGTGGTATATTTTAGGTTCTTCTGTTACTTTCTTTAGTAGCATTGTAGGCTTTGATATTCCCATTGTTACTACTTGGTAGCTATTGCAGTATAACTGACATTTTAGTAGTTTAATTTCACCTCACAAAATCACAGAAAGGTTCAGGTTGAGAGGGACCACACTGGGTCATCTGCTCCAACCTCCCTGCTCAAGCAAGGCTATTCTAGAGCACATGGCACAGGATTGTGTCCAGATGGTTCTTGAATATCTGCAGTGAGGGACTCCACAATCTCTCTGGACAATCTGTTCCAGTGCTCAGTCACCTACACAGTAAAAAAATTCTTCCTCATGTTCAGATGCAATTTCCTGTGCATCAGTTTCTGCCCTTTGCCTCATCCTATTGCTTGGAACCACTGAGAAGAGCCTGGTTCATCCTCTTGGCACCCTCCTTTCAGATCCTGACAGACACTGGATGAGATCCCCTCTCAGTTTTCTCTTCTCAAGGCTGAACAGGCCCAGTTCTCCCAGTTTTTCATCCTAAGAAAACTGCTCCTGTCCCTTAATCATCTTTGTTGCCTTCTGCTGAACTTGCTCCAGGAGCTCCATGTCTCTCTTGCTCTCAGGAGCCCAGAACTGGACACAGCACTCCAGGTATGGCCTTGCTTCTGCCAGTTTGCTATAAAGGCAGATTACAAACTTCACACAGAGCCTTCCTGGATATTAATAGACGGATTTCCCAAAAACTGGTATCTCCGACCATTTTAATAACCAAGCATAAAGTACTGAAGATACATCAATTGCACAACAACTAATCCTCAAAACACAATGAGTACTCGGGAATGAAGTTTCTCCAGATGTGTTTACAGCCTTTTGGAACAGAGAAACATTATAAGGCAGTAGCACTGGGAACTACAGTCCATGAGGAAAGATTGAATAATAGTAAACTTAAAGTGAAATCTGGTATGTGGCTTTCAGTAATAAGTTTTTGAAGTAGTCTTTTAGCACAGCTATTTTAACACAGGAGTTGCTTTGCTTTTCTGTCCTGAAGTGAAAAGAGAATAAATAATGGAGTAAATAGAAGTGTTTTGTTAAGTAATTCAGCTCCTAGTAATTGAACACAATGTTTTGTGGTTTGGTGTAAGAATTTGCATCCAATTGCTGTAAGTTTTTCTGCTGTAAAGAGGAACTGTTCAGGCTGCAATGACATCCACTCAAATTTCAGGTTCTTTTTTTCACTTGTAAATATTCTTGAAACAGTGGCAATTTCTTTACATGCAGTGACATTAGTTAAAAAGCACACATGAATCCCTGCTGGTTACAGACAGTGGAGACACTGTGCTGCTGGAAGGAGAAGGCAAGAGGCTGATTTAGAAGTATGATTTTATAACCACTGTATTTTAAAACAGTTATAGAGGAAGAATTCCCTGCTGAAAAGCACCAAATCCTTGACACTGAAATGTTTCTTGGAAGTAGAAATTTTGTATATGTATTTATACTTTACTGAGAGTAGGCTGCACAAACCTGTTTTAATTTGGCAGGTTGATGATGTGGTCACAGTTAGTTTCTAAAAGATCAGCATTGTCCTTACAGTATAAATTTCAGGTCATCTTAAGAAAAGTAAACACATTTACTAATGGTCTCTGAAAAGAGAAGTTAAGGCTTCGATTTTATATGTATAAGGACATTTGTAGGTAGAATTTTTTGTTTATGGACATATGCACATAGACACACAAACATATGTTTAACATTTTATTTGTTTTGAGCTGAGTGCCATTTTTATGTCATTCCTTTGTTGTCTTGGATGATTTTGCACAAGTATGTGTATGGTAAGACTGTCGAAATGCTTTCTTATTGTTCTTAAGAGTTCTGGAATCCAACTTAATATTAACTTTTCTTGAAGAGCTACACTTTTTATAATATGAAAGAAGTTCTGTCACAAATGGTGCAAAATGGAAAGAAGAAGACTGCAAGAAAATCAAGATGTTGGCCTTCTATCATGATATTTAAAATTACTTTTAAACTACCTTTGAAATATCATTTGAAATTATCAAATAAAAAGAGGGCCAGGTATACCAGAGCAACATTTAAAATTTATTTTTAATTATCATTCCTGTGAAAAATCTTTCATTCAGAAGGTTGTAAATATATTTTTCTTTTGCAGTTCTTACTCTCCATATTATATTCTGTGTGTACATTTAGACCATGGTAGCTCTATAGTTGAAAAGTAGTTAAATTCTTGTAAGCTGCAAGGCTCAAGATTTTAGTTATCCTCTGGAAAAAATATCAGTTTAGTATTCATAACTGAACCTCTGCTAATATCTAAAGCATGTTGAAACAGGCCCCTGTGGTAAAATTAGCTCTTAAGTGTAATGCACATTCGAGAAAAAGAGGTATGGGGGACACAGGAGGAGAAATAATTTAAAATACATCGGTTATCAGAAAGGAGGGACACTCCTCGCTGTGTCAGTCTCCTTTCTTGCAGTTTTCATGTTGTTTAAAGCTTAGTGTACCTGAATATATCTGAGCATTGTCTGTAGTTACAATATCAGTGGTGGTCAGTCACAGTGAAAGTGTCCATTTTCCCATATGGTTCCCCAATTTATGGAGGAAAAAAAGTTCAAATTAAAATGAGAGTAGCAAAAAGGAAGCTAAAAAAAACCAAACAGAAATTAAAATATGCTCCTGACTCTAGATGTTTGTCCACAGATATTTTTTCTTCTTTTGCTGCTTTCCATGTGGCTGGTTTTTTTTTTTATTATTCTTTTCAAATCCATGTTTTTTTCTGTCAGATTCTCTGTTCCCTCTGCTGCATTTGCCTATGTTGTTTTATACATACTCCTGTTGTGTGCCCTATTTTATTTTAGATTCTGTTTGTGTATTTTCCATCTCTGTTCTTATTCAATTCTCCAGAGTCACACTTCTCTTTGTCATCTTTTTCCATCAGGAATAGCTGTCCACGCAGCCACCACCATAGGTACTGCACAAATTTCTTATTTTTCTTTATTAATTTCCTCATCAGCTTTCTGTACACTCACAGTTAAGGCTGGCAAAAATGTTTGTGGCCTCCTACTTTTCTCTCTTTCCCCCCTTGCCTGCTACTCTCTGTTTTACCTCTTCACTTCACTTTCTGTTATTGATTTGGGGTGTTAGTTGAAGCAACTTTCCCTTCTGCCACCTCCCAGAACAGTGGCCTGCAACCAAAGGCTCACTGATTTCTGCAGTGAAGCAAAGGGCGAAGATGCTGGGCAGGAAAATAAAGGAGTGCACCTTACACCGACATTTCACACATCAGGAAAACCGAGGCCCAGGACAGGAGCATTCTGCAAGTCCTGGATAAAAGTGAGAGGAAGGAAATGAAAAAATTTCCAGCTGGTATTAAAATGTGGCAGTTTAACTTAACACTGAAATCTGTGTGCTTCCTTCTTGCATAGTTTGGATCTCAACCAGTTGTGAATGTGTATTTGACCACATTAAATGCCGATGTAAAATATCTCAAGTATAACCTGTTATGATAATAAAAAGTAATCACAAGCTGTTATAATTACAGTGTAGTTTCCTTTTTTTTGCATTCCCTTGTGATGGTGGTATTTTCTCCATATACATCACCATTCTTTCTCCCTCCTTTTTTCCCGAGTTGCCATAGTATTTCTACAATGAGCTTTTTTCTAAGATACAGTGTTTCTTTTTAACTTTTCTTGCCTTTTCAGCTGGCTGTAGCATTTACAAAGCAGCTTTCAGATGGAATCAGCTGTATTTTTCAAAGGTTCAATGCCTTAGGCAGAGGTTAGGGATGCATTAGTGGCTCTGGTGTGTTTATGAGCCCGTTGCCTCGGTACCCTTGTGCGCTCAGGGCTGCATCTAATGGAGCTGTTTTCTCTGGCCATCCTGGTTAGTGCTGCCTCCAGCAATGGCAGAGCCAGGGCTGGCCAGCAGCACAGGCAGGTGCTGCTCCAGCCTTCCCACCCTCCACAGGTGCCCAGCCCCGGCTGCTGGCCCAGACCTGTGCAGGAGTCACACAGAAATGAAGTATGCTTCCTCATTTCCTTTATTTTAATTCCTTCCCGTTAAGGTTTTTAAGGCTGTGGTGGCATCTGTGGCTGTTTCTTTTTCCATGCAGAATATTTTTTTCTTAAATGTAGTCACACAACCATTTACGCTCTCATCTTGTGTTATAACTATGTGATTAAGCAGCAGAGCTCATCAGGACATGGGACGTGGTTCCAAAATCCTCTTTGAATCCCTTCTGCTCACGTGTATCTGTCTTAGAGCACCTGACCAGGGCATGTTTGTTCATGGGGGAAGCAGCCGTGACCTGATGCCATGATGGCCCAAAGCAAGCTGTGGTCATGGGCTGGGTTTGGAAGGATGGGTAGTTGGGAAAACTGCAGTGCCTGTGCCTGTCTGCAGGGTGGGCGGGCTCTGAATTGGGAATCACCCAGGTTCACTTTGTGGGAGCCATGATGGGCAAGAAAGGTGATGCTGCAGCTTCACCCTTCGTATAAAGGCTGTGGTGTCTCCCAGCATGGAGACAAGCAGACTGTGTTTCTTGAGTGTGAGTTTGAAATGTGGTCACTTCTGAGGTGCAGTGTGGACACTGAGGAGTTCCTTGGCCTTCAGAAAGCTCCCTGAAGCATCTGCCTGTGCCTTGGCCTCCCATGTTATAACAAGAAGAGCTCTCCCTGATCATGTCCTTTTTGTGTGTGAGAGTGAACACATTGGTAACCTGGGATCTTCAGGTTTGTGGTGATGGGGAAGTGCTCTGAAGGGTCACAAGCATAAATAAGGATTTCAAACTTATATTAAGTGCTTCAGGACTGCACTGTCCTTCCTGGTGACAATCAGTCTCTAGGATGGAGCAAAACCATCAACTGCTTTCTCGTCCTGCAACACAA